TACCCCCCCCCCCCACACACACTCACCCTCGTACACACGATCTTAAAGATGGTGCGAGGGTAAGTTTTCTTTTTGAAACTTCTTACCATAAAATTTATTTCCCTGTAAAGCACAATTCGTCTTCAAATCAGCTCCTAAGAGGTGAGTTACGCTCGCATTCCTAGTTAGCGGGACTATTTATTCTGAAGAGGGGGAATATTTTTAAAGAAATTCTTAATTTATTTGATAATTCATTTTGACAGATGCAAATACCAAGTTGCCTGTTTGACACTAGAATACAGCTAATTAGAAAACCTAGAAGAATATTAATATTTCAAATCTCAAAAAATGAACAATTTAGTCTAAAATTATTTCGAATGAATTAAGGGTTCAGAAGTGGAGGCAGGGGTCAATATCTCAAGACGACATTTTGAGGCTTCACGATAAAACTCCAAAACTCGAGAATCCGATTTCAGATCAAACCGGGAATCCTGTCTCGATGGTAAGAAAAATTGAATTTTAATTTGACTTGTACTTTGTATATTCATTTCAAGTATGAGGAATGGAATATTGGACAATAGCTTGATTTTATTTGATTTGATTTTTGAAGAAGATTAATAACTGATGGCAAAATATTTAGAAAATTTAGAAATATTTAATTTTGAATTGAATGGAAAATAAAAATTTAAAAAACTCAAAACAGAAAAATGAGCAAAATATTGTAAAATGAAGATTTAACCTTAAATGTTTGAGAAAAACAACTTTTAAAGAAGTTTAAAATTGAAACAAAAATTGATATAAAAATCAAAATCAGAAAAACTATTTTTCATTTATTGGCTCAATTTTTTTTTATTGACAAATTTCGGCTCAAGACCTCTATTCGTATAATGTAATTTCATAACTTATTCAAGAATCTTGATATCCCTCAACCACCGGTGGGGCTTTTTAGGGGGTCAGGAGGGGGGGGGGTGCCTTCTTTTAATTAACATGGAGTGGAAACAGGTACTGTTGGATTCACATTCTAGGGTACTCTAGCGTATTCCGTTTACACGGCGCTTTTATGTATTTCAGTGAGAGATTTAAGAGATATTAACAAATATTTATGTATTGCTATTTTGATTGCATTCCCATTTAGTTCCCATTTGCATTTTTAACATTACCATTCCATTAAGTTTATCTCATAGTAGGAGGAGTTCAGAGAAGGCTTAAGTATTTTTATTTACCGATATTATTAACTTCAATTATTGATTTAGAGGTTCGATATTATTCATTTCCATTTTTCTTGGAAAAACATACATATTTGTTTATTCTTGATGTTTTGATCGTTTTACGAGAACTTCGAAATTTGAAAAAATAAAGATTTTTTTATTTATTTGTCTCACTTACGTCTTATTGATTGATTGATGATTTATGTTTTATTGATTGATAAGATGATTTAGGTCATATCTTTAATGACTTATTAATTGATTGGTAACTCATGTATTATTGATTGATTGATGTATTGGTTAAACATATTTTGTAGATATCTGAGTCAGGGCCACCTCATGCCAAAATTTACGGATTTGAATTTATTTGCGGGGAGTTTATTACACAGGGTAAGCCAAATTCAAATTCTAATTTATTCCATTACTATTTCTGGGACTTGGTGTTAATTCCTTTTTACTCTTGGACTTGTTGATCTATAATACTTGGCGTTTAACGCCGAGCTTAAGGGGATAAATCAATATTTTTTTTTTTTTTTTGGGGGGTAAAGTTCTGAGGATGGTATTAACGCTGACAGTTGCAGTGCCAATTTTCATGTTTCCACTAAAACTTAGGACGTTAGTGTGATCATTGAACTCCTACTCTTTTATCTGATATTTCTTGTAAGGATTTGGACGGACGAAAAAAGAGGCGAAGGTTAAAGCTTCCGATGATATGGTACCAAGGTGAATTTATTTTGAGTTTATCTGATCAATATCTGATAATGTTTCTGATATCTGATCAATAATCAAGTTTGTCGTTGTATGATTAAAATTTGAAACAGAAGTTGAAATTTATACAAAATAGTTAGAAACAAATTTTATAAAAAAAAAAAAAGTTTAATTGGTTTGGTTTTTTTTTTCAGAGGCTGTAAGAAGAAGAAAATTACTAAGTAGCTGTTTACAATTTGGTTATTATTTATTCTAAACCCGTTCTTTTCAATTTTAGATTAATGAAATTGCCCCGAGTTCCTCACAACGTGATGCAACGGTTCATGGGACGCGGTAATCGGCGTGGAATGCACGGCCGAGGTGGCAGGTAATTCCGATTGAGAAATAATGTATTGCTTTGCTCTATTCAGTGTAATACATTTGTTGTNAATACCACGTGGAAAAACATATTTTCTTATTTTCAGCTGTATGAACATTGTAAGAAACGAAAGTGGTCTGAACCTTTATTTGAATGCGTGTCAGAGGAGATTTGTGGAGAACGGAGAACAGAGCAAGGATTTATGCTCAGGTTTCAGAAAAGAAAACTTTTAATTTTCTCATGTCTTATAGCTTAACTCCATAACCTTGCCTTAAGCTCTGTCTTCTCAGGTTTCAGAGCAGAGAACTTTTAAATAAATACCTTAGCTCGTTAACCGTTTTTCTGAACCTTACCTAAAGCTCTGTCTTTTTTCAAATTTCAGTCTTCTCGGGTTTCAGAGAAGACAAATTTTAATTGAATATCTTAACTCCTTAACCCTTACCCTATGCTTTTTGATTTTTTTTCCTCTAATTTCTGTTTTCTCAGAGCTGGGAACTTTTGAATGGTGGATATCGGGATTAAAGCTTGATCCACTCTTTTTCTTAATCTCCAGATTAAATCATGCTTGCTCTCTTGTTATTAATCTCCAAAATAATTAACCGATCGGGATTAAGGATATCCCATTCTAAAGTTTTCAGCTCAGGTTTCAGAGCAAACGACGTTTATGAATAGTTTATCTCCTAAACCTTACCTAAACTTTATGCATTTTTTCAAATTTCTTTCTTCATAGGTAAAAGAGCAGAGAACTTTTTATTGTAACGCTTAACTCCTTAACCTTACCTGAACGTGAACATTTATTATGAATTTTTTCTAATTTCGTTTTCTCAGGGTTCAGAGCAGAAAACTTTTTATACAAAAATATAATAGCTTAACTCTTGAACATTACCTGAACCTTATTTTTTTTCTAGTTTCAGGTTTTAGAGAAAAGAACTTTTAAATGAGTAGCTTAACTCCTTAAATTTACCTGAACCCTTTGAACTTTTTAAGATTTCTTTCTTCTCAGGGTTTATAGTAGAAAACTTTTAACATTTTTAGGTTAACTTCTTACTCTTTCCTACAGCTTTCCATTTTTTCAAATTTCATTCTTCTCAGGTTTTAGAGCAGAGGCCTTTTAAATAAATAAATCAACTCCGTAACCCTACCTTTACTTTTTTCTCATCCCCGCCCCCCCCCCCCCACCTCACGTGAAATAAGAAAATCCTTATATAAAAATGAATTTAAATTTATGTTAGATAAAAGATTGGAATGAGTATATATTCTATGTAGGAAGACGAACTTCACTCTGCAGTGCATCGTGAAGGTTGGGAACGGGAAGGGCGAGGTCATAGACGAGAAAATTTTCTTCGGTTAGCTCTTTTTATCGTTCAATAAGATAATAATATTTTTTTAAATACACTTTGAAATTTTTTTTTTTATCTTATTATTAAATCATTATTAACCTTCTTTTACTACTGAGATAACGTCTAGTATTTTGTATTTGAATTATTTGAATTATTTGAATTATTTGGATTATTTGAACTATTTGGATTATTTGGATTATTTGAACTATTTGGATTATTTGGATTATTTGGATTATTTGAACTATTTGGATTATTTGAATTATTTGGATTATTTAAACTATTTGGATTATTTCAATTATTTGGATTATTTGGATTATTTAGATTATTTAAACTATTTGGATTATTTGAATTATTTGGATTATTTGGATTATTTGGATTATTTGAACTATTTGGATTATTTAAACTATTTTGATTATTTTGAAGAAACCCTCCATTTAAAGATGGCCAATGGCCATGCCCGATTTACAACGGTACTTTTAAAACCAGGTTTGTAAAAAAAAACCGGGTTTAAAAAAACAGCCCAGTGGGTTTTATTGTTTTGTTTTTTTCTGGGCTTTTTTGGGTTTTTCCAGTTGAAAGTATATAAAACCTTCTTAAATTCATACTAATTCATAACAATAAGACTATTTAAGCGATAGGTGAACTTCATAGATATGAAAAATAATAATATTGTTGTAATGATAGGCTATTATAATCATTTATGAATACTCTTCAAATACAATAATATCAACTTCCTTCTTCAGAGGGGGCCCTCATAGGAGGAATACTGCATTTTTTTTATATTATAGTTCTATAAACTGCAGACTACTTATATTTTCTCACTTGGATACATATTTCTGATTGGGGGTGGGGCTACTCAGATTAATGGGTAGATATGTATATTGTATATGCTCAAGAAGAAAGACCACTGTTAAATACCGGAAAACTTCAGCTCAGTCATGCATAAAAATGAAAAATGAATTTTATATCCTTGTTCTATCGCAACAAATTTTGAAACTTCTGAAGTTCTTCTGTGTATCTTCTTGGGTTTAATATATTTAATACTCGTTATAAAGAAAAACAAGCACTGCAGATGATAGATCGCTATAAAAGTTTTCTGCTATTGGATTTGTCTGGTCCAAAACCCGAAACAGTCTTGAAGTCCAGAGTGACAAGGTTGACTACTTTGATTAATTCAATTGTTGTTTTAATAACTTATTATTCGTACTATATTCAATATTCATGTTGTTAAGATCAATGATTTAAGTCTTAGGAAATGAATCAATGTGTTGGTTATAGTGCTGTAAACTCCCTAAAAAAAGAGTTCATCATTATAAAAGGGAAGACATGGCAATACTTAGAAAAATTCGAAAACACATATAAAACCCAAAAAAGTCCACTTACAGGTGGTTTTTTAAAGTGGGTTTTAATGGGGTTTTTTCGGGCTGGGTTTAACTTTTTTATGTCAACCCTACTTCAAATTAAATCTTTATCTAATCAATAATGTGGAAGAAAACCTTGTTTTTTTTAGCTTGAAAAGGGAAAATTGTCACAATTTCCTTCATTGTTACTTGCAAGAAATCTGCAAGTCTCTCTTGTATAGAAACCCTAAAAGAAAAAAAGGCATTTTTTAAAGAATAATTATGGACCTTTTAAGTTATTCTTTATTGGACAAAGAGTTTGTGGGTACCGGTGTGAATCGGACATAGTAATCTATAAATGGGGGATAACATTTTGCCTGATTAAGGTACTGCACTAACCAAGAAGCAAGCTAAAACACAGGCGGCCACGGCTGCTTGGGCAGATATTTCACAGGTCGGTTAATTAGTGTAAAATTAACAAATACATTTTTTAATACAGTGAAACCCTTAATAACGTATACATCGGAAGAATTTATCAAATGTCGTCTTGATAATTTTTCAATGAGTTTTATACTATATTACGTAAATTTCAGTAGTTGCGAAAATAAATAAATAACCATGAATATGCGGGAACAGTTTTAAAGAGTTACATATAATCATTTGATTAAAAAACTAAATATCTGCAACATTCCATTTTCAGAAAGTAAAGAATACGACATTTGATGAATTCTTTCGATGTATTCGTTATTAAGGGTTTCACTGTATCTTCATATATATAATACCTTTAAAGAATTAGGGGGGTATGATTTTTAATGCTCTGGAGAAAGATTTGTTTTTTCATCCTAACCCATAATCAAGTTTTTCCCCTAAAAAAATAATTTATTTCCCCCAATTCGGTGTTTTAAACCTTCTAGAAAAATGTTGCTTCCCGCTGAAAATCTCGGAGGAAAAAATGTGTTCAAAGAAGGGGAGGATGGGACGGGAAAGGAAAAAATGTATGTTCTAAGAAGGGGACAATGGGGCGGGAAAGGAAAAAATGTATTAAGAGGAGGATGGGGCGGGAAAGGAAAAAATGTATTTTTAAAGAATAGGATGGGGCGGGATACGATTTTTAACGAAAATATACACCCCTACTAAAAATATGGTTAAAATATGTTTTCAGTTGTATTTATTTTTTTCTAAAATATAATAGAATTAATATTAATCTTCTATTTTCAGTCTTCTTAGCTTTTTTGTGAAACAAATCTTTTTAACTACTTTTTTGAAAAAATACTTCCGATTTTTTTGTCTAACCCCCCCCCCTTCCCCCGCCCTCCACAAAAAGGCTCGACTTATTTGAACTTGGAAACTACAAAATCCTTGTTCAGTAAAAAAAAACCGTAAAGAATGTACGTAATTAAAATTCTCTTTAATATGTATTCTTCGTTTTCTAGGGATTGAATAAATCAACCTCATCTGCTCCTGCTCCTACCCTTCCACCAGGAGCCAACCCAATCAAAGAACCTGGAAGTATATAGGTCGGGGCTCATTCAAACCCAATATTAAAGTCAATTTCAAACTTATTTCCTTCTTGTTCCGCGGGTCCCGTATTGAATGAGTTTTCTTAAATTACAAATTTAAAAATAATATATTCTTTGAGATAAACCGCAAGTGGAGATTTAGATTCGTTGAAGTGATTTAAAGTTTTCATCTTTTTAATTGGATTAAACACAAGTGGGTTGAATTTATATATAATATATATATACTATGCTTGTCTGGGTGTTTGTTAATCGGTCCATTTGTATCCAATAAACGACAAAACGGCTGAACCGATTGGGCCAAAATTGGGCCAAAATTTTGTGTTGGACCTTCCCAGAGAAGAGTTATGGAACATCAGATGATCAAAATTGGAAGAAAAAGATTATTTGAAAATAGTTGGATTTTTTTTTTAAAAATGCGTCAATTCAAAAAGAAAATTACTTTCAGAGCAACAGTTAAAATCTATATTTACAGGAAAGGGGGCGCGAAGCTCCATAAAAGCCTAGTATTATAGATCTGCGAGAGCAAGGTTAGTGCGAGAATTAGAACCAATTTTAATCAAATACGTTCATTTAATAGCTAGCTGCCAACCCTGATAATAGCCAAGACAATAATTGTAGTTATTTTTTCAGAAATCTGGAACAAATCTGATCGAGTCTTAAACATCGTTGAAACTACTTTTTTTACAATCAGGATTTTGAAATTTATTTAGTTATCTAGTCGTCTCATTCGTCATAGTCGGTATATATGGTTTGTCTTTGCTTCGACTCTCCAAAGAAACAAAGTAGAAACCCTTGATTTAAAGCCAAATACAATCCTTAAACGCAGCTAAATTGTTTTATGAATTTCTCTTGCCAATCTTACAGAATTCAGCTATAAGAAAAAAATCTTGTCTTGCATTTCTATAAATTCAGTTGATGTCAATTAAAGTCAGTGTGCACATTTTGTACAGTCAGTCAAATATTTGAATTGTACAATCCTCCAGAACTGCACATAATAAATTCAGTCAATTCCTGTAACTAAATTTGCAGTTTATAGTGTTATTCTGAATGTTAAATATTTTGTAGAAAACCACCCATGTGAATTGTAAAAAAAACTTATTTAAGAAAATTACTCAAAATTGTGATAAACAATGTTTTTTTTAATCTGTTTTTGTTTTTTTGTCAGATAATATGTGCCCCCTCCCTTTCACTTCTAATCGCAGTCATTGCCCCATTAACCCGCCTCCCTTCACTTTCCTTCCACTCCCATCCCCCCCCCCCCCCCATCCAAATCACATGTATCCCTTTCTGGCACTGAGTAGCACCCCTTTCATTAGTAATGCTGCTTCACTAATAAATCTGACTTTTATGTTGTTTTTTCTTCGTCGAAAAACATGGTTTTTGTGAGCTGTTATTTTTATTTTGCACCATCTTCTAGACATTGTTTAAATTGGAATAAAATAGAAGTTTTTCTCATCAATTTATTAAATTCATTTTTTAAATCACCTTTGAACACATTTTCAATTCTGCGGTTTATTAACGAACTGCAAATTGTAAATTCCCTTCTGGTATTTGTGTGATTTATTAAAAAATCAGGCTTTAATATTGGACGAGTTTAGTTTTTTTTCTACGATTTAAGAAGATATCATGTGTATAGTAATATGTAATTATGTCTTTGGTATTTTTTGTTAATTTTTATTTAGGAATATAATCTGCGATTTTTAGATAAAATGGTTGAATCTCTGAATGTTTAAGGGTTAACGTAACTTAATCTGAAAAGGTAAGTCCAGAAGAAAAGATTGATGGACCAATTAATAAGTGTCTGTCGGATTCTATCGTCTATAATCTCTGTATATACTTTGCTTATATGTCTGTTTGTTTGTTTGTGTCCATCAAACGGTCGTACGGATCGATCCCAATTTTTTATGGCAACTCGCATGACCCATGGAAGGCACCGTCAATGAAAAATTTTGCCAAGAAAAAAAGTTGACTATCATACTTTAGAAAAAATCCGTCAATTGAAAAAAAAATCGCCAAAATAAAGGCCACTAACAGCTAAAAAGAAATAGGGTGCAAAGCCCTCTCAAGCTTAATTAATTAAACTCGTATGAGAAATTAAAAACTAATTTTTTAGGAGAAAATATAAACCTTTAAGAATAGAATATAAAATAGAAAAGTCTTAACTTTTATACAACATGCACAGAATGGAAATATTAGTTCGACTTTGAATGCGGAAAAATTAACCATCATTGCAACATGTCAAGGTCAAAAGATTGATTTTCAATTTTCTGGGAATTTACAACTTCCTAAACCATAACATTATATTACCTTTGACAACAATTTATGACTTCATTAGGAAAACTAAAAGAGTTCTAAACTAAATTAAAAAAATAAGGGGAGAAGGGAAATTTGCTTGAGCTCATTAACACTATGGTGCTTATTACTTGATCTATAATTTGTGTGAATACACAAAAATTCAAAATACATGTTAGTTATTCCAAAATACATAGATACTCAAAATACATGTTAGATATTCCAAAATACACAAAAATTCAAAATAATGATCGTATTTCGTATCTTTTAGAACTTGAACTTGAACACCTTAAAAGGCATTCAAATAATGTGAACTGAAACATCGTTAATTTTTAGGATTATGAAGATGTGAATCTGATTTTCTTTTTAATAAACCTTTCCTAATATTTATGGGAATTATTATCCTGATCTTAATCTTGTGAATTATGAACCTAAACAGCTGACCTTGTGAATTATGAACCTAATCCTGATCTTCTGAATTATTAGACAAATTTTTGTGAATTATGAACTTAATTAGGATCTTGTGAATTATGAACTTAATTTTGATTTTGTGAATTATAAACTTATTTCTGATCTTGGGAATTATGAACCCAAATTAGTGAATCATGAACATTGCGAATCTTGTGAATTACAAATAGATTGCAAAGAAATTGAGTCTTCACCACAAATTAAATTTTCTAATATTTCTAACTTATATTATTCTATCTAGCAAAATTCATAGTTTTAAATATCCAGGGTCTACGACATTGGGTCGCAAAAAATATAGTGATTATAAAATCAGAGTTTGTGGCAAAGACTCAATTCCTTTTCTAATGACAAAGGAACATTACACTGGTCTCATATTGTGCCTAGTATAGGGTTTCCAGCTAAAAAAACGATGCGAAAAAATGCGAAAATTTCCGTTCGTAGTTTGTAAACTTTTCGCGAAAATGATTTAAGTGAAAAAATCCACCAACGATGCGAAATTTTGCTAACGCAATTCTTGCGAAAAAAATCCGCGAAACACAAGTGTTGTAACTGCAACAATTAAGAATTTCTCTTCCAGAACTTTAATAAATATTTGATTAAAAAAAATTTTATTAAGAGAATTTTTTCCTCGAAATTTTCGCTTTATTTGCGTAACAGATTAAAGCGAAATTTCGCGGGAAAAGCGAATAACTTTGCATTTTTCGCGAGCGAACGAAATGCGAAAAAATGCAAATATTTCGGCGGAAATTTATATATAAATATTTCCCACTAAACTTTATCTCCTTTATTTATGTGTTTAAGCTTAAAATTCTATTACATTTTTTATTTCTATTTTCACCCTTTTCATTTTTTAAGTCGCTACAGTTCTGTTTTCTGTCAAAAAATATAGAATATGATTATCATACTTAAACTTTTTTTATTAAGATTCCAGAACAAGCTTTTCCTTTTAGTTTTTTATGTAAGGTGCTCTTCAAAATTCGGGAAAAAGGATTGGGAATTATTTTAGAAAATAATAAAAGAAATTAGTCTCGATCATTAAATAATGCTTTTCATCAGTGGACTGGATTTTATTTAACTGAAACAATAAAAATCAAGAAATAAAATCTTTGAATCTTCACTTGATCTATTCTCTTCATTTTTAATCAATACTAGCCTTAGAGGGCGCTTCGCGCCCATCTTCTAAATTAATTGTGAACATGTTCTCTTTGTGTACATCGTAAAACAAAACAAAAATAATTCGCGGATTTTCACAAAAAATTTCGTGGATTTTCAAAATTTTCAAAAATTTAATGATGATCGAACTTTGATGGAGACAAATATTTGTAATTTTGATCATTCATAAACCTTCCCTGTGGTCACGTGATGTCCCACAAAAAATTTGGGCCCGATCGATTCAGCCGTTTTGACGTTTATTGGATACAAACAAACAGACACCATAACAGACAGACAAGCCAAAGGAATTGAGTTTTTGCCACAAACTCTGATTTTATAATCACTATATCTTTGGAACCAAATGTTGCAGACCTTAGATATTTCAAACTATGAATTTTGTTAGATCAAATAATCTGAGTTTGAAATATCAAAGGTTTACAACATCGGGTTTTAAAGATATTGGTGTTTAAATATTTGATTTTGTTCCAAAGACTCAATTCCTTTATATATAGATATAGATAAAAAATATCAACTAAGGGTTTTTCATTTTCCCAGGATGGCTAATATATAGCAATAAATTAGTATTGTTTTTAGTCTGTAAAGTTTTTTCCTTCATTTGTGTATTTGACTTAATTAATCACAATTTTTTTCTTATTTTTTAACCTTTTTTGTATTTCCTTTTTCACTCATTTTAATTTTTTTTGATTTCTCTCTTTTTGTCTACTTTCCTGCTTCAGTATATTTTTCTTCGTCGATATTTGCCATTATTCTTCAACTTATTTGTCATCTTCTTTTTTTTCTCATTTTCATCTTTTTTATTTTACTTCTCAAATGATTTTCATCTTATTTAAGTTTCCAATCAATAGCTGTAAAACTGGTTTTACATTTAAGGTTCACCCCGCACCCCTCAAATAGCCTAGAATAACCTGTAAACACCCCCCTTCCTCCCCTCCGTGCATTCTTTTTCTCCAGGAATAATAGTTTTTTAACCTTAAATATAGTAGTGTATGATACAAATCTCTATCTGTGTGCCCTGTCTGTTTATCTCTCTATCTATCTATTTCCCAACATTTCCCTAGTATATATTTTAACCTTGATTTCCCGCAGATTGAATAGTTCTCGAGAGTCCGTACATAATGAACTCGGTTCCTATATTTCTTCCAGTAGTTGAGCAACCATGCGGCGATGAACATTATACAGTGATACCCATAAAATTTTGGAATATGAAGACGACCTTAGACTCGAGTTACGATTGTAGATGGTCTAATAATTGTGCAGTGTTATACAGACTCATTTCACTTAACAAGTTAATGTTTTAAGCTTCTGCTTTTTGCAATATAACAATCTCGTTTTTTATGTTTAAAAGTCGTTTTTAAACTTTTGTAGTTTTTACATAACAACTTCATAGCGTGCATTGGTATCTTTATAGTAAAGAAATTTCAAAATACAAATGGTCTTTTTCAATAAAAAAGTTTCCTTAAAAAAATGTAGATGAATGAAATTCAATTTTCAAAAATTTTCTTTTAAGCCAACCCTAACCAATTTATTGTATTTGTAAAGGTAAAAATGAAGGGGGGGGGGGACTAAGAAATGGGTTTAATGAAAATCAATTTTTATCACCACCTTTGTTCGATTTGCAGTGAGAATTCTTGCAGATTTGCACTTATTATATTTCATGGATTTTCTTGCAATTCGTAATCAATTTTTATGAAAATTTAGAGTAGAATAGTTACGCGGTTTTTTTCTATATACCGAAAAATATTTTTGCATTTTATTCACCGATAATTTTCATACAAAAGCTATAAACCATACAAAATTTGTTAAAGTCTTCTGTAAAACAACCCTCGAATACAGGTTTATTTTACTCACCTTTTGCTATCCTATCTCCACTTTTAAGTGTTGCTCAACCTTTCAGCATTTTCTCTTCGGTAAATAGATAAACAGACAAACAAACACACACGCAAAGTATATATAGATATATTATAACACACATATTACATATAGATATACTGTGAAAATTACTAGTTTTATATATATGTATTGATATCATGATATGACATGTAATATTGTGGTTAGAAAAATTGCTGTATTTACAGTGTTTAAGACAGTTTTCTAGTTGATCAAGAAGAGGCAATTATTAATTATTAATAATTATTTAAAATTCGGTGATGTTAATGGACCAAACCTCTGTAGAGTAAAAATATTAGATGTTAGTTCCACATTTATTGAAAATATATTTTGGTCTCCGGGTTGACCCTCGTCAGTTCTAACGATATAATAACCATCAAAACGATAAAAAAAATGTTAAAAACCAAAAAAAGTTAATTTGAAAAAAAAAATGGGCTGTCAAATGGACAAAAGGGAAACGAACTCAGATCATGAGATAGAAAAAAGATGATTTGCAAATCTTCACTTATTTAAAAATGTTTTAAGACAATTATTATTCCTTGAGATTATTACTCTCGAAGATTAAAAACAAACTGTTTAGATGTATGTGTATAAAGTGGTGGGGGTCGATCTAATTAACGAACTTTTACGTAAATCGGGGGGAGGGGGGCGGCTTGTTTAAGGAGGGGTATCTAAACTTTCTGAGAATTGTAAATAAACAATACTCTTTTTTTAAATGCTGAATTACAGTTTACAATTAAATAAAAACTTTTTTCCTGTTCATTCCTCTGAGTTCAGTCATAAATATATTTAGATTCTCGTACTTCAAGTAAACTTCTCCCAAATCTTCTCTAGTACGCTAACGTTTAGATGGTTCGTTAATAATAATGTATGTATAGGTTATGAATGAATTCATTGATAAAAACTTTCTTTAAATACTCTTTTATGAAATTTAGCTCTACATTAACTCTTATTTGTTATACAATGCCTCTACTTAAAGGGGAGAAATAAAACATCTACAAATTTAAACCTAATTTTTTTAACTAGTTGCAAAAAATATTTAATTTAAAAATTTATGATTTTCGAGAACCGATTTTTTTAAAGAAACAGTCGCTGTGACATGTGTTTGATGGATTTGAACTAACTTTTCTGGTCTTTAATTAGTTAAATCTTCAATTTTTCAGGTGAATGGTAAAGAAAAATGGCCGATACAGCTGAATCAGGAAACAAAATGGCGTCTGAGGGAACAAAGAAAGACGATCCAGATCTGGAGAGTACTATGGAACCTCTAGTGCTCTGTAAAGAAAATGGTAATTTAAAATTTTTTTTTGTGATTAAATTCCATATTTACTAAAGGTGTGTTTATCATATTAAAAATGATATGTTTAGGGATCTTTTAAAATGAAACAAAAAAAAACTTTGAGAATTGAGTTAAAAATTTAAAATCTGTTCTGTTCTGTAAATACAGGGTTATCCAATTAAAAATTGAACAATCATAGAAGGCTGTAAAATACGTTCAGGATTCCTATCAGCTGTTAAGAAATTGAGTCTTTGACACAAACCATAATTTTGCAATCCTTATATCTTTGCAACCCAATGTCGTGGACCTTAGATATTTCAAACTTTGTTTTCTCTTAGATAAAGTAATCTAAGTTTGAAATATCAAAAATTTAAACCAGCAGTTTGCAAAGATATGTGGATTTAAAAATTTGAGTTTCTGGCAAAAGCTCAGTCCCTTTGTTTATTTTTTTGCCAAATCATTTAGTATATTATTTTAAGACCATATATATATATATATATATATACTCAATGAAGAATACCAGATTCAACGTTGAGATTTAATGAGTATTTGGTTGTAATTAAAGTCTCATCATTTTTTGGTTAACCCTGTATAGCTGCCTTGTTAGTAGCAAAACCAACTATGGATATATTATTGATTGGACTGAGAAATACGCAAATTATGCTACAACAAAGATAGAGGGGGGTGGGGAGATTTTCAATTGTTTAAATGTGTGATAAATTAGTTATTTCGCTTCAGCACTTTTTACCCCAAAAGGAATTGGATCTTTGCCACAAATTAAATTTTCTAATCTTTTAAACTTTGCAACCTGATGGTGAATACCTCTCATATTACAAACTAAGATTACTATGTTTTACAGAATTCATAGTTTTAAATATCTGATATTTTGTTTTGATGAGAAGGTGGTGTACATGTAGAGGAGAATGCGTTGACCAAGGTGTGCCGGTTATTGAAGAGCAAGGAATTCTGGAAGGCTAGGTTCCCCTGTTCATACTGGATTCCAGAATACAGATTCTCTACGTTTATAGGAGACACAATAGCAGGTAGATAAGTAGGTTCCCCTGCTCATACTGGATTCCAGAATACAGATTCTCTACGTTTATAGGAGACACAAAAGCAGGTAGATAAATAGGTTCCCCTGCTCATACTGGATTCCAGAATACAGATTCTCTAGGTTTATAGGAGACACAAAAGCAGGTAGATATGTAGGTTCCCCTGCTCATACTGGATTCCAGAATACAGATTCTCAACGTTTACAGGAGACAGCAAGAAGACTTAATTTGAACTTGAAATCGTCATATTTTAAATGCTTTTGGTCGTCTTTGCAGTCTCATTTTTTGTGGGTAACCCTGTATATATATTTTTTTTCTGGCCCCTTTTCTTGAAAAACTAGTTAATACATTGTTTGTCTTGTTAAATAGTTTGATTTTTTAGGAAGGACAGGAAATAAAATCTTTAATCCCCCCCCCCCCAATCCTATTTTAGATTATTCAATTTATGTTTAAAATGTGTTTTACGATGAATTTGATTTCTGTAAATATTTATTTAACTTTAAAAGTAAAAACGTATTTTGTGCAATGTGTTTATTTTTTGTTTACATTATGCATGTTTTTCATTTAATTTATATAATATGATTAATAATCTTTTGTAAGTAATTTTGCATCTTATAAAAATATTTAAATATATCTGATTTGAGCAGAAAATGGTAAAACGGTAAAATTTACCAGGAAATCAGTAATATTTATTAGATTTTATATATTATTTAAAAAAAAAATTCGACTGAATACAAAAACAAAGGAGATTAGGGGACTTCCCAAACTTGCATAAGAAATATGCAGTATGCACTGCAGACCTCAAAATTATGTAATATTTTTAATCCGGCCACCATCAAACACCATCAAAATAGAGACTTCTTAACTGCTAATAAAAAAATTTAAATCATAGTCTGTAAGGAAAGGACGATATTTAAACAGTGAACTGGGAAAAATCATTAAATGTCAAAGGAATTGAGTCTTTGCCACAAACTCCGATTTTTAATTCTTTTATCTTTGTAACCTAATGTTGTAGACCTTTGATATTTCAAACTATAATTTCTGTTGGATCAAATAATCTAAATTTGAAATATTAAAGGATCAACCCATCAGGTTACAAAGATACAGGGATAAGAAAATTTAAGTTTGTAGCAAAAACTCAACTCCTTAACGTCTTTATTAATTCTTCATTTGCTTGTTTTCATTTTTATATTTTAGGAACTACTACAGCGTTAACAGTAATACCTCAGGGAATTGGATACGCGCCTTTGGCTGGATTACCGCTTCAGTATGGACTATATGCCAGTATTCTACCAGGAACAGATCTACTAGTTTAAATGAATCTAATGATGTTGCCGATAAAGGGAATAATGACAATAATACTGAGAATGTTCATAATGAAAATGAGAATTTTCAAACTGATGATAATGAAAGTAATCTTGATAATGAGATAGATTATGGTGATCATGGCAATAATAATGATAATAATGAGAATGATAATTATGATAATTATGATAAATATGATGAAAATGCGTTTAATGATAATGGTGACAGTGTCATTAATAATTAAAATTATTAGGGCGCTGACAATCCGGCCTACAATATTGATTCGATTTTTTAATGATTAACTTTTGGCAAAGGAATCGAGTCTTTTCCACAAGCTCTGATTATGTAAGCACTATATCTTTGCAACCAAATTTCGTAGACCTAAGTTATTTCAAAATCAAACTACAAAATCTGTTAGATCAAATATGCTAAGTTTGGAATTTCAAAGCTTTACACCAGATCTGGTCGTTAAGATATAGTTATTAGTAAATTTGAGTTTGTAGCAAAGACTAAATTCATTTTAAACATTTATGACATTTCTATTTTTATATCATAAACTTAATTTGATCTGTGTGAAGGATTTATTTATGCTGTTTTTGGCACAACAAAAGAATTGTCCGTAGGTAAGTTAGTTATTTAAGCAATATTAAATCAGTAAGTTAGTGTCCATCTCATATTCCTTGCTTTAAGACCCAAGCCATATCCCACTAAATAAACATCTTTACATTCTTCTTCAAAAGGATGTTTATTTGAATGGAGGACTTTGTCAGGAGAAGGACAGAAACTCCATGCTAAAAACAGAATCAATCCCTGTTATTTCCTTATATTCACAATTTTGGTTCTGAAAAAATATATTTCATTCTTCTAGGGCCTACTGCTGTGAATGCCATTATGTCTTTCAACTACGCCGGATCTGATGCCGGGAAGGCCGCCACCCTCGCCCTCTTTACCGGGATTATTGAGTTCATCATGGGATTCTTAAACCTAGGTAACACCAAACTCTTGGAAACAGTATTGATGTTTAAAGCAATTCCAAGTAACCTTTTCATCAAAGATTGTCCTGAAGGATTTATAATAAATAGTTTCCCTTTTAGTAGGCTAAAATGGTGAAGGACTGAAGGACTGCTGTTTAAAGAAAATGAACAACTCTTGCCATTTTTTCTTGCAGATATCGAAACTTTTTGTGAGGAGTATCCTCAATCTTGAACACTTGATATTGATATACAATGTGGACACTTTTGGATCCATACTTGATCCTTTCATGTTAGTTATCCCTGCAGTACATGACACCACTGGATAACATGAAGGGATTAAATCAATCCGGAAGTCTGCATACGATGGAGATCAATGCTTGATCCTGAAATTCATAACACAAAAGTTCTGATTTTATATCAGTCCTAAATTACAAGATATTGTCAGAATCCTCAAATTTTAAAATCCATGTTTTGATAAATCTGTTTTGAAAAAAGTTCAATTAAAGTTTTGAATTATTTAGGATTTCTTTTACATTTCGTCTCTGATCCGGTCATTACAGCTTTCTCATCAGCTGTCGCAATTCAGGTAAAAATAAAAAACGCCATTTTTATTTGTAGCCCCCCCCTCCCCTCCCGTTAAGGCGAATACCTTCGTAACTATATTTGTGCAGGTGATCACCTCCCAGATCAAGGGACTGTTCGGGATAAAGTATCCGGCTAGAGGCTTTCTCAATGTCTGGATCGGACTCTTCCAGAATATCAAGAAGACAAGTTTGCCAGATCTTGGTTCTGGAGTGGTCTCTATACTGATACTTTTCATGATAAGGGTAGGTATATATATTAACTACCTGAAGTGCGCGGCGTTCGCGGCGTTGACCGTGGAATTTTAAAACATCAACCGTCGGAAAAATGTTTGAAAACAAAATCGAATTTTTAAAAAAATTTAATTTAGATGAAAAAAATTTCGATTTTTACTAGCCTCTGTCACTCCAGTGTAACCATGGGTTTTCTAAAAAAAAATGTCATCCAATTTTGTCCAGCCGTTTTGTAAGCTATAGCTAACAAATAATTATATATAATATGAGCCAAGAGCGTTATTATATAGATATATCAGGACTTGTATTTGCTATATATTTTTTGCTATATTTTTTTTACTATATATTTGCCACATGATAGTGTAATCCTTTGATATTTTAAACTTGGATTATTTGATCTTAAAAACGACATCGGGTTGCAGAGATACAGGGATTTGTGTTTGTGGCAAACGCTCAGTTCTTTTAATTTTTTTTCTATTTTAGAAACTGAAAGAATGTAAAGTGTGTGAAGGTCCGGACCCTAATGCTATGAGAGCAAAAGTTATCAAAAAAATAAAATGGTTTTTATCAATTTCCGCCAACTGCATCATTATCATTATTGGTAATTATAATAACCACCTCAATAAATAAGAAATTAGAAAGATGAAATGTGATAAAAATGATAATAGTGGCCCATAATATTTTTTTATTAGCTCACTAATGGTTTAGCTAGCCTATGCTAGTTCAACTACTTCTCGCTATTCATTATTTCTCACCTCTAAACAGGGGCGTATTGGGGGGGGGGGGGACCCCAGGCCTCCCCCAATATAAAGACTCCCATATATTTCATATATTCGATTTCTAACAATTGACAATTTGTCCATTTTAAGTTATCAGTCATTAGTCGATCATTAGTAAAGAATTTAAATTAAACAGTTTTTTAGGGGATGGTACAACGACCGCTAGAGAGGTGAACAAAAAAATTTCGCCGCGCCAAAAGTTTATCCTTCTAGAATAAACCTCCAATACGACAGCTATAAGCATCCTAGAATAAACCTCCAATACGGCAGCTATATGCATCCTAGAATAAACCTCCAATACGGAAGCTATATGCATCCTTCTAGAATAAACCTCCAATAGGGCAGCTATATGCACCCTTCTAGAATAAACCTCCAATACGGCAGCTATATGCACCCTTCTAGAATAAACCTCCAATACGGCAGCTATATGCATCCTTCTAGAAAAAACCTCCAATACGGCAGCTATATGCATCCTAGAATAAACCTCCAATACGGCAGCTATATGCACCCTTCTAGAATAAACCTCCAATACGGCAGCTATATGTATCCTAGAATAAACCTCCAATACGGCAGCTATATGCATCCTAGAATAAACCTCCAATACGGCAGCTATATGCACCCTTCTAGAATAAACCTCCAATACGGCAGCTATATGTACTAGAATAAACCTCCAATACGGCAGCTATATGCATCCTAGAATAAACCTCCAATACGGCAGCTATATGCATCCTTCTAGAATAAACCTCCAATAGGGCAGCTATATGCACCCTTCTAGAATAAACCTTCAATACGGCAGCTATATACACCCTTCTAGAATAAACCTCCAATACGGCAGCTATATGCATCATTCTAGAATAAACCTCAAATACGGCAGCTATATGCATCCTTCTAGAATAAACCTCCAATACGGCAGCTATATGCATCCTAGAATAAACCTCCAATACGGCAGCTATATGCATCCTTCTAGAATAAACCTCAAATACGGCAGCTATATGCATCCTTCTAGAATAAACCTCCAATAGGGCAGCTATATGCACCCTTCTAGAATAAACCTTCAATACGGCAGCTATATACACCCTTCTAGAATAAACCTCCAATACGGCANCCCCCCCCCCCCCTGTAAAATCGGCCCATTTAGTCAACGGTTACAGTTTTTAAGTCACAATAAAGGAAGACTTTTTAGTTTTTTGTGTTCACTTAGACAAATTTAAAGAAGAAAAACTATTTTAATTGTCCTTATTTTTTGCGAGCTAAGGATATATTGGCATTGTAATTCTTGCCTTAAACAATAATGGGTTGGTGTAGAAGAAACCAGCATCAAGGAAATCCTTGATTCAAGAGACCCAATCCAAATACTGCAGGTACGGGGTGTCCCAAGAAACAACTGATGATTTTGGATCGTCTTCTTTCCACTTTAAAAAGTTATTATTGACAAATTCTTATCTTAAGATTTGAAAAATGTGGGCTGCCAATTTCATACCTTCACAATTTACTTAGGTGTGCAATGAACATTAAACTGAAACTGAAATTTTTTTAAGATCACGAAATTAAAACTTCTGATCAAATTTATGAATTTATCAAGATCCTGTGTACTTACCAATACCACTTTTTGAAACTCTTGAACCATTCCTTTTAATTTAAGGATCTTGGCACTGGTCTAGTGATGCTTCCTTTGGTCAGCCTTCTTCAGCACTTGGCGATAGCTAAACATTATGCAGGTAAAACAAGATTTTTATTATTTTGTAGATTAAAAAGTTAAGTTAAGTATTAAAGTACTCAAGTAAAAAAGATGGGTGAAAGAAATGATAAAATACTTGTTTAGTTTTCACACAATTTAGAAATAACCAATTTTATATTTTAGCATAAAATCTTCATTTCCTATTCCTTTAAGTTCGATTTTTGTTGTTATATTTGATACATGGATACGTTACGGCGACGAGCCCGATTTCATCAAAAGCTGTGTTCTCCTTTAACAATAATAATAATAATAATAATAATAATATTTGCAACTATCTCTGTTTAAGGTTCTAAGAAGATGAAAGCATCCCAGGAAATGTCAGCGCTAGGTCTGATTCAGATTGCTGGATCATTTGTGGGTTCCATGTGTGTCACAGCATCATTCGGCAGATCAGCTGTTAATGCTTCCTCAGGTAGTGCAACAAATGATACGAAAAAGCCCACTTTTAGTTTGGGACTAGCATCTACTTTACTGGATAAATGATAAATCTAAAATAAAACATTATAATCATGAACAAATATTTAATGTTTGAATTTGATTTAGGTTAAAGGCTGAAAATGCTTTGGAAAAAAGTGTTCATAGAGCCACGTTAACAAAATCAATGAATGGAAAATATGAATAAAATGAATCTTAGCAACCCAGTATCGTAGACCTTAGATATTTCTTCCTAACTTTGTTAGATCAAATAATTTGAGTTCGAAATATCAAAGGTTGCAAAGATATAGGGATAAGAAAATTTTAGTTTGTGGCAAAGACTAAACGCTTTGTTTAGGGGTGAAGACACCTTTTGGAGGAGTTATCACAGGGTTAATAATTATCCTGGCCTGTGCTGTTCTGAGCACCTACCTCAAGTACATCCCGACCTCAATCCTCTCAGCAGTCATCATCTTCTCGATGTTCTCAACGATTGATGTCAATCTTCTGATCACCCTTATCAAGACAAAGAGTAAGTAATCCTGCGAGTTGAGGAATATATAAATCATCGATGAATAGCAATATATACAACTTTAGTAATTCTTAGTAATTTTTAGTAAGATAATTTTTTCTGCGTCTCCTATTACATATTATGAAGGATCAAATTATAAATAATAATTATTTAAAAATAGTAAAAACGCAGATTAGAAGCTAAATTAAAATATGTACAGAAAAAAATATTTAAAAGTGAGGTGGGGAAAATAAAAGGTCTGAGATCTAGAAAAAAATATTTAAAAGTGAGGTGGGGAAAATAAAAGGTCTGAGATCTAGAAAAAATATTTAAAAGTGAGGTGGGGAAAATAAAAGGTCTGAGATCTAGAAAAAATATTTAAAAGTGAGGTGGGGAAAATAAAAGGTCTGAGATCTAAAAAATATTTAAAAGTGAGGTGGGGAAAATAAAAGGTCTGAGATCTAGAAAAACTCTCAGATAAATGAAACTATGATATTTGTAGGTATTGACCTTCTCCCATGTCTGGTAACATTTCTTCTTGGTTTGTTCTACTCAGTAGAGAGCGGTCTCATCATTGGAACCTTGATTCACTCCCTTCTAGTTGTTTATCTTTCAACCAGGTTAGTAAACTCCCAGGGAACAGAAATGTGCGTGCTCCCTCGCTAAAATCTTTCCAGGTTTTGCCAATTACGTCAATCAAGCTAAAACTAGAAACAAGAGCTTTGTAGTTCTGAAATCTACATGTCTACAGAAGGCTACAACAAAAAATATGATAAGAGTTAATAAGAAAAGACCAAATGCCAAGGCGTTGCCAAACTTGAAAGTTGACCCAGTTTTGATAATGGTGCACAATTTGTTACCCCTTTAATCAACAGACCTTGATATAATACATTTTTATTAGTTTATTTCTGAACAAAATTAACCACTTTTCACCATAAATAATTTTTCCTTATTATTTTTCTAGTTATATGCTAATCTCTGTTTTAACACATTGAAGTGTGTTAGAGAACATTTACATTTCGTTAATTAAACAATTTATTTTAATGGACTGGTATCTTTGTGTGAAGGATAAGTTTACTATGGTGTTCCAGGTTGAAGGTTTGTGTGAAGGATGAGGATAAGTTTACTATTGTGTTCCAGGTTGAAGGTTTGTGTGAAGGATGAAGGATAAGTTTACTATTGTGTTCCAGGTTGAAGGTTTGTGTGAAGGATGAGGATAAGTTCACTATTATCCAACCTGACAGAGAACTCTTCTATCCATCAGTAGACTCACTAAGGTACTTTTGCAAACGAAAATCAGTTATTACAATTGCCAACCAACACTCTCAGGCTTGGGATTTCCAAAATGTCTACATCAAAATCATGTCTGTCTAAATATGTCTAAATCCACAAATATTTAAATTGCAAAGAAGAATTAAGATTCAGAATATATTTCCGGTTTGATTGAGACACCTTTTTATTTCCTATCGACCCGCTTAAATTGTAAATATGGATAATGTTTAGATCTACCCTGAACGAAGCTGCTAAGCGTAAAATGCCAATATTAGTGGATTTAAGCCGGTCAACATACCTGGACTACAGTTCATCCACGACCCTGATTGCGTCTATTAAGTCCATTGAGAAGTCAGGGACTAAGGTTCTCCTGGTCCTAGCAGAGGACCAGGCCCAGGCTCTAGGGGGACCCTTGACCGGACTCAATTTCTACTATTCTGTGGAGGACGCTACTCTAGAGATTATTGCGTAATTTTTACCATTGGTTTTGGTGTTTTTATGCAGAGAAACCTGTAAATGTGAGCATAGTGTTGATTAAGACTCCAAGTGCCATATTGACTGTCAATACAGTGGTCAGAAATAGCATATATATGTATATATAATTCGGTTACTAAAATGGGGATAAAATTCAATTTCAGTTCCTGCTAATCCATTGGTATACACACACTACACCTACTACACCTTGTTGTAGACATTTCAATACCGCATACTGTATTGAACAGTCTACAAGTTTCTATTGATATATGTGCTGACCACAATATTGCATAAAGAAACTGCAAACACTTTTCTTAAACACTAATTTTCCCATACTTATATCTTTGCAACCTGATGGCATAAACCTTTAATATCGTAAAAATAAAAATTCTGCAACATTTATAAGTCGAAAGTTTGAATTATCGAAGGTTCACAGTCACATCAATAGGATGCAGAGATATAGAGATTAGAAAATTAGGATAGAGATAAGTTCCTCTCCTTTGTTTGTTCCTTTGTTTACATGAAATCTCAGGCAACACACGTTTTAAGAACAATCTCAATCAAATTTTATTTTAAAATGCAGTAATTTTCTTAGATTATATTTCAATAATTCATATTTTCCGAATCGGGATTATCCCGCATCTATATATAAATTTGGCTTGTCTGTCTGTCTGTTTTGATCCAATAAACGTCAAAACGGCTGGACCGATCGGGCCCAAATTTTTTGTGGGACATCTAGGGACCCCAGGGAAGGTTTATGAATGATCAAAATTACAAATATTTGTCTCCATCAAAGTTCGATCATCATTAAATTTTTGATAATTTTGAAAATCCGCGAAATTTTTTGTGAAAATCTGCGAAGTATTTTTGTTTTGTTTTACGATGTGCACAAAGAGAATATGTTCACAATTAATTTAGAAGATGGGCGCGAAGCGCCCTCTAAGGCTGGTAATATAAAATTGCAGAAAATTACCCGAGGAAAATCATTCACTAAACTAAACATTTAGAATACATGGTTACCCACATAAGGTAAGACTTTAAATGACGACCTTAAACTCTTCATATGACACTCTGAAGGCGAGGCTAGAATATTTCAATGGAATATTTAATGATTTTTAAAAGAAATAAACAAGTTTACAGCTGTAGGGCTTCATGAATAATTGAGCATGAGAATGAAGAGTGAAAAAATTTCGCCTGTATAGTCTCATTCTGTGATGGTAACCCTGTACATAAATCTCAACAATCTCAACAATGATCAATTTATTGGTGACGTTAGTAAAAATACTTTTTTATAATGTTATTACATATTCGCTCTATTATTGCATCGATAACTTTATACCCGAACCATTGTATCATGATTCATGACCACTAGAAGTAATGAAATATGTATTGTAATTGTAATGTGTTATCTGTTTTTTTGTTATAAATAATCCATGGCCATAATAACAAAAGTACAAGAATTAACGTAAATAAATGTTTAATTGTTAAAGAATTTTTCAATTTCTCTCTTGTAAGAATCAATATGCATGTTTGCAATGAACTTCTTAGTATTTATTTATACTAAATATTATTAATGATATGTATTGTACATGATTTAGTTGGTTTTTAAAACAGTGTGAATATAATTGAAAAGTATCTAGAAGCACTTGCGGTGAACAATGGAGGGTCCGCACTCATCATACTCCTGCTTGGAGATCCACATCTGCTGGAAGGTGGAGAGGGAGGCCAGGATGGATCCTCCGATCCAGACGGAGTACTTCCTCTCAGGGGGGGCAATGATCTTGATCTTGATGGTGGAGGGAGCCAGGGCGGTGATCTCCTTCTGCATTCTGTCAGCAATACCGGGGTACATGGTGGTTCCTCCGGACATGACGGTGTTAGCATACAGGTCCTTACGGATATCAACGTCGCACTTCATGATGGAGTTGAAGGTGGTTTCGTGGATGCCACAGGCCTCCATTCCCAAGAAGGAAGGCTGGAAGAGGGCCTCAGGGCACCTGAACCTCTCGTTACCGATGGTGATGACCTGACCGTCGGGAAGCTCATAGGACTTCTCCAGGGAGGTGGAGGCAGCAGCGGTGGACATCTCCTGTTCGAAGTCAAGGGCGACGTAGCAGAGCTTCTCCTTGATGTCTCTGACAATCTCCCTCTCGGCGGTGGTGGTGAAGGAGTATCCCCTCTCAGTCAGGATCTTCATGAGGTAGTTGGTCAGTTCACGACCAGCAAGATCCAGGCGAAGGATGGCATGGGGGAGAGCATAACCTTCATAGATGGGAACGGTGTGGGAGACACCATCTCCAGAGTCCATGACAATACCGGTGGTACGACCAGAGGCATAGAGGGAGAGCACAGCCTGAATAGCAACATACATGGCGGGCATATTGAAGGTCTCAAACATAATCTGGGTCATCTTCTCTCTGTTGGCCTTGGGGTTGAGGGGAGCCTCAGTTAGAAGGACAGGCTGCTCCTCAGGGGCAACACGGAGCTCGTTGTAGAAGGTATGATGCCAGATCTTCTCCATATCATCCCAGTTGGTGATAATTCCGTGCTCAACGGGGTACTTAAGGGTGAGGATACCTCTCTTGCTCTGGGCTTCATCTCCAACATAGGCATCTTTCTGTCCCATACCGACCATGACTCCCTGGTGACGGGGACGACCAACGATGGAAGGGAAGACAGCTCTGGGAGCATCATCTCCAGCAAATCCAGCTTTGCACATTCCAGATCCATTGTCTACGACAAGAGCAGCAACATCCTCGTCACACATTTTGCTGTTGATGTTTTAGTTGTTGTTGATAGGTAGACTGTCGAGCTTATGACCTAACCCCTGCGCTGCACTGTTTATATACCCTGCCCTGGGACAAGGCAGGCCTAGAAAGTTTATATGCCCAAATAAGGTAGTGTATTGTAGGCTGACCTAACCCAGCTACACACTCGGCCGGTCATACTCACAATAGCATACCTTACCTTATAAGGGCAGAACGAATATTGGGAATACAGAAATTTAATTGCGGTGCTCAGTTAAGACCCCATTTAGCTAAATTCTCATTATAAATTGCTATAATTTTCATTTCAAAACAAATAAAACAATTATGATTTTAGGACAGTGTAGGAAAATTACTTTTTTGAAGCATTCCCTATTTGTTGTGTATGCTTTCGGAGAAACTCAAATACAAAGTCCAAGGAGTGGGCGGGCAGGTAAGAGATATCCGTCCTTCCTTGTTTTCTAATCCAACTAGAGATATCCTTCCTTCCTTGTTTTATAATCCAACTAGAGATATCCGTCCTTCCTTGTTTTATAATCCAACTAGAGATATCCTTCCTTCCTTGTTTTATAATCCAACTAGAGATATACGTCCTTCCTTGTTTTCTAATCTAACCAGAGATATCCGTCCTACCTTGTTTTCTAATCCAACCAGATATATCCGTCCTTCCTTTATAATCTGCTCAGAGATATCCGTCCTACCTTGTTTTCTAATCCAACCAGTGATATCCGTCCTTCCTTGTTTTCTAGTCTAACCAGATATATCCGTCCTACCTTGTTTTCTAATCTTACCAGAGATATCCGTCCTACCTTGTTTTCTAATCTTACCAGAGATATCCGTTCTTCCTTGTTTTCTAGTCTAACCAGATATATCCGTCCTACCTTGTTATCTAATCTTACCAGAGATATCCGTCCTACCTTGTTTTCTAATCTTACCAGGGATATTCGTCCTTCCTTGTTATCTAATCTGCTCAAAGATATCCGTCCTACCTTGTTTTCTAATCTTACAAGGGATATCCGTCCTACCTTGTTTTCTAATCTTACCAGGGATATTCGTCCTTCCTTGTTATCTGATCTTACCAGGGATATCCGTCCTATCTTGTTTTCTAATCTTACCAGGGATATCCGTCCTACCTTGTTTTCTAGTCTAACCAGATATATCCGTCCTTCCTTGTTATCTAATCTACTCGGAGATTTGAGGGATTTAAGAGCTATCCAGATATTGAAGTTTTGTACTTCAATTATTTTTAAAATAGAGGAGTTATGAAGGTACAGTCTTTTTTCAACTTGATGTAATTACTAAGTAAAATGTCTCGAGTTCAAATACCCATTAATTAGATTTCTCATAGAACTTCAGGCCGTAATTCAATTGGTTGTAATGAACACCAGGTTTCTTTTCATTAGTTAATTTATAAAAAAAATATGTATTATTTCTGCTGTTTGTCTTTTTGTTTAAGTTATTTTTAAATGCATTATCATGCATTTAATTTAATTTTATCTCTTTCCTTATATTAAATGAATAAAATAGAGATTTTTGAATGATTAATGTTTGCTTGATTAGAAACGTAGAAAAATTAAAGATTAAAATTCGAATATTTTTATTTATTCTATGTGATATACTGATAAGGTCATATTATAATTGCACAAAAGGCAATATTTGTATCTTATCTTTTTCGACGAAACAAGCTAGGTTAAAATTATGAAACGCCCAAAAACAACATTCGTCAAATTGTACATTTTCTTTCACTTTTTGGTTAAATCAGTTTTTAATGGAAAGAAAGACATAGGCTAAGTTGGGTTAGATTTTGGAGAGTTTAAAAACGTATTACTTGATATGCCGGGAGAATTAAGAGAAGAATTTGTAAATTTAATAAAAATATACTATGCAGTGATAACCAGAAAACTCTGGAATAGGAAAAGAACTTTTACACTTAAATAATGACTTTAAATAGTCCAACGAGCTTGGGCCACAGCAGTTGTGCAGTGTCAACACCCCATTTAACGTAAACAGTGATTTAATATATATCCAGTAAAAGTATTCGCTTTGTTACTACATCAAATACACTTACAATACACTTATAAAGTCGTCTTCCTGTTGTAGAATTTTTCGGTTATCACTGTATGTGAACCATACAAACTTTTAAGATCTAAATATTTATTCAGTGATTAAAGATTAAGATTTCATAAAGTTTTACAATTATATCAGAGAAATTTTACCACATATTAGTTTTTTTGAATTCACCAGCTGTAAAACAGAGTGTATTCTTAGAATGCCAGTGTACACGTTCACATCCTGGTATTGATTTATCTGTGCTAGGAAAACAGGCATCATAGTTTCCGATTTTTTCCGTGGTTTTATCGGGACATATTAAACATGTAGTATCCTGACAAAATCCAAACATAGGATTCACAATATTGGATGGAGGATTCAGGCCAGGCGCGGATTCAAGCTCTGGCGGAATGGTTTTAATTAGGGGTTTCACGGTCTGCTCTGGCTTAGGGTCGCTTTTTTGTTCAGGTTCAAACTAAACCATACAAACTAAACAGAAGGAGAAAGTATTATTATTGCGACACTACTGGTATGACTTTGTGACCTTGTAGCTACTCTTATATTGATTTATGCACAAATTCACAAGTATGAGAAAATCGCATATTAGGTTACATATTAGAAATTAAAAACATGTTTTTTACTTGACCAGCTATGGGTTTCCTTAAAATTCCGGAAATGATATAACACGAAGGGGAACAGGGAGCAATCCCTTATATCCTTCCTCCAACAAACCTTCTTATCTCTCTCCTACCTGCTCCACAACTCGAAGTGAAAAAAAAATATTTGGAGAGCCTTAAAGTGTAGAAACAAGAAAAAAGAAAATTTAACAGGTATAATTCGACGGGAAATCTTTTGATATTAGACATGGGGGCTTTGGAAGACGTTTCCCCCTCTGCTGGGGAGGGGGGAGACAATCGCTCCCTCCCCCTCCTCGCCCCCAAGAAAATACCAGGAATTGGTGTTTTCGCATATTCAGATGCAACTCACGAGTGAACAATTTAATCCAGATTTCCGAAAAAGAAAGCAAGATCTTTTCAGCTAGTTCAAAAGCATGATCCTTTAAAAATATTTCTTTTTTGTAAAGTGACTTCATGGATACATGCAACAGAGATAGCTTATCTCTTTTTAAGATAGAAAAACAACAATATCTTCCTCAATATTTCAAATTATGGTTTGAAGGGTTTGTTTACCATCAAAAGGAACTTCAGTAAAATCCCGCGAATCTTTAAAAAAGTAGGATCACTTGAATTTATGCCGAGAGTCCATTAAAGGGACAGTAAAGGAAAAATGAAAGGGGGTATAGGCTGAAATCTAATCACTTTAGCTCTTGATTGCGACCCATGAAAGTTATATCTGATGTTCCTGTCTCGAGAAACTGATATAAAACTGTGTTAAAATTATACGAAAATTCATATATGTAAAATTTTGAAAATCTGACACTTACATCACGTGACCAGAAATATCACCAATGGCAGAGCAGTATACTGGTCACGTGTCTCCGCCTGTATCACGTGACCACTTTACTGCACTGCCATTGGTGGAATTTCTGGTCAAGTAATACGGACGTAAAAATAATATTATGAATGAAATCTATTGAAAATAGAAATAACAAATATAAAAGTAAACCTAATTTACAATTAGCTTTCTTTGGGATATCATCGTTTTCAGATTGGTTGCATATTTGCTGAATATGATCTGTTTAAACCTACTACTTTTATACAAAATTGTATATACATTAATTTTCGTATATATATTTGACACAGTTTTATATCAGTTACTCGAGACATGAACATCAGATATGACTTTCATGGGTCGCGATCAAGAGCTAAAGTGATTAGATTTCAGACTATACCCCCCTTTCATTTTTCCTTTACTGTCCCTTCCATTAAAGTGACATAAAAGATTGTTAAATTTTATAAGTACATTTATTGTTTCTAGTTGTAAATACATGATAAATAACGAGTGTATTAAAGGAGAGGAAGTTGAGTTAGGTCTTCTCTGGTTCCAGGATCCGACACTATATTGATTTGCGGATTTTATAATCCTCTTTCGGGGATTTCATCCTCTACAACAAAATCTCTTTTTAGTTGTAATCATGAATCATGCTGAATCATGATTACATATTTAAAAGGGGGAATCACAGCTCTTTATTGGAATAAAAAATGGAACTGACAGGATGCTATATTTACAATAATTCCCCTTTTTTGCCTCTTTGTTCTAAAAAAACATTTGACTTTTAAAATCATAAAACATGTACAATATTAATTTTATTTGAAAATATGCGACAAATTTATTTTTTTATTTTGATGATATTTTTAGATTTTGAGGTTTATCATGTTTCTCCTTAATTGTCTGAATTACGTCATCGGAAGATAAGCGAAGGGAAACACTGAAAACTGAACCCGGAGTATAGTTTAGTGAAAACCCTCGGAAATGGAGAAACAAAATTACAACGCTTATCAAGACCAAACCCAGCCACAGGTAAATAATTTTTATATTAAAAACAAGGCTTTTAGGGCGCTTTTCTAGTAACAACTTTTGTAATTAAATGTTGCTTTCAAGCCACCATTTTATATTTTTCTTCGTAATTTCGCGGAATTTAAATTAATTTTCTTCAGATTTTGAATTTAAAATTTTTAGTTTATATGACTTAAAATGTAAAAAAAAATTTTACTCAAACTGTAATTTTTTAAATCTTTTTTACCTTTACAATCGCTGAAATCGTAGATTTTGCACTTCAAACTAAGAAGTTTGCCATACATTAATAGTTTAAAATTGCAAAGATATAGCTAGAGATCTAAAAAATAGAGTTTGAGGCACGTGGTAAGTCCCTTTTTTACACAATTTTCTAAAGATTTCAACTTCATGTTGTGAAATTTGTTAAATCGCACATTTAGTTAATTTGTTTTCTTCTTCTATCTTGTTAGATAATTCTCACATTGTCTCCTGTTACAGGGATGGACCAGTCCCCCGCCATACTACGAGGGGGACCAACAACCAACACAACAACAACCAACAACACATCACACCAATGTTGTTCATGTTGTTCAAAATATCAAGTATGGAAGACAACCCGTTCAAACAACATGCGGCAACTGTAGATCTACGGTAACTTTATGTTAATTAGAAGGAACAACGTTCGGCCAATTCATCGAAGGGTTTGGAGTATAGTTATGTTAAAGCTATGTTGCAGAATTATTCACAAAAAAAAACTATAACGTAATGACGACCGCGTTCAGTTTTAATGAATAGCGCGATTTTGTTGAAACTCGCAGACGTAGATGAAATACTCCTCAATCGGTTCAAATTAAAGAGAATTCAAGAATTCAACTTTTTCCATAATGCCGTTTAATTACTTCTTGTTAATCTCTTTAAACCCCAGATCTTAAGATCATTTTGGATGCTAAAAAAATTTAAAATGTGCATGCTAATATATGTCAAAATAGATTATATATATTAAAATATCATTAAAAAGATAACCTATTTGTAATATTAATCACTTTTCTAGCATCAAATACGTTTAGATGTTTGCCTTCACAATCGTTGTATATTTTTGTGGTTTTGTCAAATTGTCTAATCATAATCAAGTCTGTTTGAAAGGATCATTGCGAATTCATGATTTACAATGAAAAAGTGTGCTCTCACTTTTGTCCTGCCCAACTTAAAGCTATTAAAAGTATATTATAAAGTTAATTGTTCCATCTTTCCCAAGGATGCATTTTTCATTTATTAAACAGGGACAAAATAAACATCTATAAAATTTTCTTTCAAATATTTGTTATTTTCATTTAAGCTGCATTTTTAGAAAGATAAATAGTCACTTATGATTATCTGACTTCAGGAAGGGGGGAAGGGGACCGGGGGGGGAGGGGGTGTTACATCACATTAAATAAGAAAACAACAAATTTGATTCTAGGAAAGTAGGACACCCCCCCCCCCCATCAGAAATTACCAACTTATTTGATTTTAGATTGTGACAGCAACTGAAGCAGATACAGGAGTAGTAGCGTTTGCTATAGCAGCTGGTTTCTGTGTAGTCGGTTTATGGTGCGGATGCTGCTGTATACCATTCTTTATGGACAGCCTCAAGTAAACAACCGATGTTATTTAAAAATCAAAATATCTCAAAAAAAGGGACGGTCAGCATAATTTCAAGTTAATTTATATTTAAGATTCACAACGGTACCCTTTAAACCTTTATCTGTGTTTTACTGAGTAAGAGATCACTAAGTTTGAATTTACCGCTTAATCTTTATAACGGCCGAGTCACTTGGAATATATTTTAGTTCCTTGCTTTAGGTAGTATACAATCAACATTTCGACTAGATTAGTCCCCCTAGAGTTTTATTTTCGTCATGTCTTAGAATATTATACAGAGCATCCCATTGCATATCATATTAGATTATCTCCTAACTTCAACACCAAAATACGCACATATTAACTCGAAAAACCTAGCATTTTCTGCATTCAAATTTTTTAATTAACCTTATACAAATTTTAAAAATGATTTAATCTTTTTAAATTTTCGGATTAGTCCCGAAAATCGCGATTTAAAGCTACACACAACCTAATATGACGTGGGACACCCTGTATGTTTCGCCAATTCTAACTAAAAACAAATTTAATTCTCTAGAAAATCTGATACCGTCATTCTTAAAGGTAAAATAATAAAAGGCCAAATTTGGAAAACCACAAAATGATAATTCAGAATAACTTAATTACTTACTTACATAAATTAGAAGACGACTTTGTTGTCGTCTCTTAATTTCCGAACTGAACATTTGCCATAAACTTTTAATTTCATATCCTCATCTTTGCAACCTGTTGTAGCAGACCTTAATACTATAAAATCTATGAATTATGTTAGATCAAATAGTTTCGGTAAAAAATATTAAAAAAATCTCTATCAGGTTGCAAAGATATATATAGGAATTGGAAAAAAATTTGTGTGGATTGTTCAATTTCTCTATTTGATTTAGTGAAAAATTCACACTTAAGCCATGTACATTTCGATCTGAGCTGAACCGACCTTTCCATTCCTAGTTTGAACTGTCCCGCCCGGTACAGCTACTGCATGCCCTGGCAGGAACACGGCAGGGGTCAATATTATTGGTCTAGCTCTGTAGACAGGGCTAACTGGTGCAACTAGGTTGACGCGGTATGACTTAAGGCTGCATCTGGTTAAATTTATAATCACTAAAACGGAAATTTTGCCTGAATTTAATACAATCATTGTTTGTTTCAGGGATGTCAAACATACCTGTCCCAACTGTAACGCATTGCTTGGAACCTTCAAAGCTGGAATGTAGGAGAGGTGTAGAAGAAGTAGAAACCATGTTTCTAATTTTGTTTATAAATAAAGTGTATTGCAACAGTTTCCGGGAGAAATGTAAACAACAAAATTTAAATTTCGTTGCTCTTTATGTTTATAAAGTTGTAACTTTTTGTTAACAAGAAAGTCTTACATTACAATGAATATAAAGTATGTACACCCTTGTATAGTGTATATTTAAAAAAAAAACTTTTTTTTCTTGAGTATAACTGGACAACTAGGTTTAAATGTATAAGCATATATTTTCTACGTTAAATTGTTCCTTGGCTTAGACCAAATTTATGTATGAATATATTTATATATACATGTTTAAATCATAATTTTAAATGAAGAATTAAAGATATATTCTTATGTATTCTAAAAATAATCACAATGTCTAGGCTTCTTAAATTCATTAATTTCTTACCCAAAAATATGTTTTATATTTATAACTTTGATTAATACAAGCATGGCTCAAAATATATATAAATAAGATTCTTGATATATGGATTATACAGTAATTAAGAAATATAATTTAGGCAATATAATAAATGTTTTATTCTTCATATATGAGAGCTGAGAAGGGATGCTCGTCAAACTAAAGCTAATTGAACGGTAGGGGCGCAAACTAAAGCTAATTGAACGGTAGGGGCGCAAACTAAAGCTAATTGAACGGTAGGGGCGCAAACTAAAGCTAATTTAACGGTAGGGGCGCAAATCTTAAATGTTTTCCATCAGAACTTCGTTTATCAAACAGCTAATGAGAAGAACAATATCTAACTGGACAATTTTTCTGGTGCATAAACTCTAAACTAACGGAGCTACGAGGTCACAAACTCGTGAAATTAGTATCGCATAAACTTGACTTTCTCCTTCTCTGCATAGTTCACAGTGGATATACCCCGATATAGAACACACGGATTTATCAGTTCGTACTTATCCAGAGACCTGTCACCTTCAATCACAATTTTACCTTTTAAACATAATTTGGTTTCTTTTACATTTTTCATTTTTATCAGCTAATGCATTTTAAGCGAGAGAATAAAGAAAGAAAACTCCGTAAGTTTAAAGATTGTTGAATTATGAATCAACGTCAGGGGCGGACACAGGATTTAAGTGAGGGGGGGGCAAGATTTTTTAGGAACAAAAAAATTGATAATTAGGAACAAAATTAAAGGATTAGGACAGGGATTTAGGAACAATAAAAAGATTGTCCAGGAATAAGGAACAAAATTAAAGGATTAGGACAGGGATTTAGGAACAATAAAAAGATTGTTCAGGAATAAGGAACAAAATTAAAGGATTAGGACAGGAATTTAGGAACAATAAAAAGATTGTCCTGGAATTAGGAAAAAAATTAAAGGATTAGGACAGGGATTTAGGAACAATAAAAAGATTGTTCAGGAATAAGGAACAAAATTAAAGGATTAGGACAGGGATTTAGGAACAATAAAAAGATTGTTCAGGAATAAGGAACAAAAATATAGGATTAGGACAGGGATTTCAGGTGGGTCGGACACAGTATTAGGAACAGGAACAATAATAGGAACATTAGCAATTTAAGAACAAAAAGAAATTACTAGTTTCTTACGAATTTCTAATTCTAAATTCATCGTTAACAATAACATTTACTTGTTGTCGTTGATTTTTAAATTAAACTGTTAAGAAAAGACTCAAGATGTGCAGTGTGCCGCGTAACTATTAAAACAAAGGCTGGGATGCCTGCGTAGAGACTGACAGCTGTTATGACAGCTTTTGATACGAGTGTGCGTTTTTATCATTTTTAGGGCTAAAATAGGTACTTTTTTCACTTTTTAAGTTTTAAGTAATATTTCTGAGAGACTGACAGCTGTTATGACAGCTTTTGATACGATTGTGAGTTTTTATCATTTTTAGGGCTAAAATAGATACGTTTTTCACTTTTTAAGTTTTAAGTTATATTTCTTCAACTTTTTTACAAAAAAAAAATTTTATCTTGATACTTTAAAGATGGATACGAATGTTATGAACGTTGAAAAGGATGGAATGTCATGATAGGCTTGATACGAATGTAGAAAAGGATGGAATGTCATGATAGGCTTGATACGAATGTTGAAAAGGATGGATACGAATGTTATTAATTTGATATATTGAATTGGGGTAGAAAAATAGTTCAAATGAGCAAGAAATGCGTTGATTTAAACTACAGGATATGACGTCATGTCAGTAGTTCAAATGAACAATAGTTCAAACGAACAATAGTTCAAACGAACAATAGTTCAAACGTACCATAGTTCAAACGGCAGTAGTTCAAATGAGAACCCACCCGAAATCTCAGGGGGGTCTACGCCCCTCCCTGAATCTGTCAGGGGGTGGCGAATGTCCCCCCGCCACCCCCCCTGTGTCCGCCCGTGATCAACGTGATTGAATTCACGTAGAAGAAACTGAGTCCATCTCGCCCTGGCTAGTCCGTGGTGAGAAGAAAGGAATTGAGTCTTTGCCACAAATTCTGATTTTCTATTCCCTATATCCTTGCAACCAAATTTGTTTCAAACTATGAATTCTGTTGGATTAAATAATCTTAGATTGAAATACCGATGGTTTCCACCATTAGGTTGCATCGATATTGGGATTAAAAAAATTGAGTGTGCAGCAAAGACTCAATTCCTTTGAATATTGTGTTCAACACTCTGGTTTGACGACTTTTATATGAATCTGGACACTCATGGACTAACCAGGGCTAGATGCTGCAGTATTCGTCTATTTGAATTCATTATTGTTTTTATATCTATTATTGAACAATCTTTAAACTTACGGAGTTTTCTTTCTATCATAACTCCTTCTATTGAAGAGCTATATGAGCAGAGTAATGTTTCGAATTTCTAATAAATAATTCCGAATTAATTTGCTTTTCTATTTTACGTAAAATCATTTTACGTGGTTATGTATGATTTATGACTAAAAAGGTTATGCCAGGCCAGGGAGCTTTAACGGCGCATCTTTCATATATGCATATAATCACGTTTAAAATCAAGCGATACGTAGCTAAAGAAATAGAGCTGAAATCTAACTTTTTTTTTACAGAACATGAGGATAGGGAATTAATTAGATAGAGAGCACAGAGGAAAAGTGGATTAAATAATAGGGGCAAATTGGATTGAGGGAAACATATATTTATTTTGTTAGATATTTGGACAAAACTTTCGTTATCTTTGTAATTGTGTTTAAAGGTTAAAAAACCCTGACGCATATATATATCTCTATATATATATTTTTTCTTTTTATTCCAAGGCCTAATTCTCTCTCTCTGTGTTAGGCCTGAAAGTACGTCTGGTCGAGCCCAATATTCTCAGACTCGGTAGAAGAAGGGGAGTCAAACCGAAAAAAAATCAAAAAAAAATATTTAACTTTTTTAAAATTAGAATCGTGAATGTAATAAATCTTGGCTGTTTAAGAAACTTACCCTACATTATTCTTTAATATATCTATGTATATCATATATATATAAATATATATATATATATATATATATATATGTTTATATATAGATATTACCTAAACGAAGGCAACAATTAAACAGTAATGAAGTGACGTAATGTTGTCATTGTTGTTTTTGTTGTTGTGTTACTCTGATGTTGAAGGTTGTAGAATTGTCAGCTGTGCATGATGAAGGTTAGGTTCAGGTTCAAGTTCATTTCTCAAGGTTGGTTGAGAGTACTACTCTGCTCTCCTAGTCTAGCCTACACCTAGAGCTCAACCTTACTCAGGGTCAAACATAAAATAGGCCTTTTCAAGGTTTTATATTACTTGGATAACGGTACAATGTGTATACAGAGGATTTCAAGTTTAATGGAATAGGGTTGATTATTAGGTAGATACTAATCATATCAAACAGAAGTATATTGAAGATTGAAATCTAATATGTTTTTAATAATAAATCCTCTTTTTGAAGATTTATTGAGAAGAACAGAAATGTTTTGAACATTAAATATGTATCCGGATAAATAAGATCAAGAGTAGAGGGGAGCTACGAGGTCACAGAGTTGAACCAGTAATATTACATTAAATATGTACCCGGATAAATTAGATCAAGAGTAGAGGGGAGCTACGAGGTCACAGAGTTGAACCAGTAATATTACATAATTTTGATCTTTATAAGATATATTGAGAAGAACAGAAATCATTTTGATCTTTTCCTTTGCAGTAGTTTGCCAAAGAATTAGGGATTAGAAAATTTGGAACTCAGTTCCTTTGTTATTAACCATGTTCGAGTTTATTTTCTGATCCGACTAAAGAAAATTGCACGCAAGATTTAAATCTTTTATGTTTTCAATCATAACTCCTTTTATTTAAGGTATATTTAAAAGAACAAAAATGATTTAAATTTCTAATATATAATCAAAAAAAATTTCTTTTTGAACTTTTTTTTCCAGAATTCGGAGAATCAGACTTTTCTTTATCTCAAACTTTAAACTTTATCTGGAGTTCAAATAATTCTGGAAGTAATCCCGACCAAGAACCTACAGAACCCCTTCATCCTTTCTAAACTTAAGTCAATCTGGAACATTTATTTGAATTTAAAATATGATAAAATATAAATTTGGGGTTGAAATGTTGAAATTTCCGAAAAGCTTAAATTAAAATGTTTTGATAAATCTTATTTTATACAGGGTGTCCCAAAAAACATGGGAATTCAGTGACGAATTGGATATCGTCTTTGTTATGAATTAGCATTGTAGTACCTAATTTCAAAAGCCATAATATTATTATGTCTGATAGAGTTTATTTTATGAAAAGGGTAAAAGACTGTAAAGGTGTGTCTATAATGTCTCTGCAAGATGAACAGTGAAGACAGACAAGTTTACTCTGTTTGTATACTGTAATTTTCTTGTTTTACTAAGTACAACCGTATGCAGTCAAAACATAAACAAACAAAATGTGAACTTAGCAGACGAATCTCTTACAAATTACAGCTTTCTCAGTAGGTATCACTTTACTAAATCAAAGAATTATCTAAAAAGACGATATCGAATTCGTCACTGAATTCCCATGTTTTTTGGGACACCCTGTACTTTTTTTAAATCAATAAAACTTTGATTTAGAAAAAAATCTTATTTTAAAATTTTTTAATAATATTAGACCTTAGCAGCTCAATAACTGGCCCCTTTTGATATTCATGCCTCAAAATTTACAAACTAGCAATAAAAGAGAAAGTTGTAACTTTAAAACTTAACTTAACTTCTTTAATATTCATCGCCTTTAAATTAGTATTTTTTCTCTTGAACAACAATAGTAAAGAATGTCGTCTTAGTAGTTCTAGATATTTGATATTTGATTAAATCAAACGAGGTTTATAAAATAAATGGTTCTCAACTTAACCTCCAGAAAAAGTCAGCAATGTATCATAGATTTGATCATCTTCACCTGCTGTCTTGTTTGCACTTTGCAGTGTCATCGACTAATATTTATTCTACCAAGGTTCTGTAGACACCCCGTCCCAATAAACATGGGAATTCAGTGACGAATTTGATATCGTCTTTTAAAATAATTCTTTGATTTAGTATAGTGATACCTACTGAGAAAGCTTTAATCTGTAAAAATTTCGTCTGCTATGTTTACATTTTGTTTGTTTATGTTTTGACTGCATACGGTTGTACTTTTTAAAACAAGAAAATTGCAGTATCCAAACAGAGTAAACTTGTCCGTCTTCACTGTTCATCTTGCGGAGACATTATAGACACATCTTTACAGCCATTTACCGTACTTTCATTAAATAAACTCTAGCAGACATAATAATATTATGGCTTTTGAAATTAGGTATTACAATGCTAACTATAACAAAGACGATATCGAATTCGTCACTATTTTCCCATACTCTCGATGCGCTCCAATGTACGGAAAATGTCGTCTCCTAAGATAGATGGATAAAAACCTAATATGACGTCACTGATTATAGAGGCGAGAGTGGCGTCATATTTGGTTTTTATCCATCTATCTTAGGAGATGACATTTTCCGTACATTGGAGCGCATTGAGAGAAGCAACCTCATTATACAACCTTGGTTTCTGCTGTCATATCTATATCATCTATATAATCTATATAATACATCTCTTCGCTCATATACCGAATGGGCTGACATTTTTTGAGAGAATTCCAATGATTGCCGATTGGAGTGAGTAATATAGGCTAAAAAATTTAGATTTTTTTCTCAAAAATCTATTATTTTTTTTCTAAAATCAATTTTTTTTTATTGGCCACGCCGAGCACTTCAGCTGGTGATATGCATTATCCATATCGATTTAAACTCTAAAAGGCCCGGCCGGTGCAAAAGCGAAAACAATCTTGCGCAAACAAAGCTATCGAAATACTGTCCCTCAAAACGACTCTAAAATCACTGTTTGACGTTGAATCCACTTTTTATTTGTTTCAAATTTTCAATATTATCCCATTTGATCTTACTCTTTTATCAAATGCAAATCTTATTTTAGCAAAATATTTTTTTTTGGAAATAGATTTATGTATTGTCAAAGTGTATATTAATATGGGGGGTCGGAACTAAGTGTACGATTAAGACAGATTACTGATATAGGATATTAAGAGATTATGGCTATTTTAGTGTTAAAGCTTTATAAAAATATTATATTTATTTGGATCACCCTCAACTCTATAATTGTCCTGTGATCTAAAAAATTACTGTCAAGAAAAATGAATTAGAATTATAATGTTAAACATTTGAATGTACGGTTCTTAATCTGACATTCCACTCTCATAAATAGAGGACCAATTGAACGTACGTGACTAAAACTGATTTTCAGAAATCCCCTCAAGTACTGTAACATACAGATTGACCTTTGAAAGCGGAGTACATGGCCTGTACAATTAGTAAAGGATTAGCGTACATCATCACTCTGTATACTATAACCTCGTTGATAATAATCCCCGTTGCGCATTTTTTGCATACGATTAAAGTACTCCAAAGAGTATTTATTTTTCAAATTTCATTTTAAAAAAGAAATGCCGGGATTTTAGGCTAAATTATTTGTTAGACTTTGCTACCTAATAATTCCTTCAGCTATAGAAGAAGATAGATGTTCAAAGGGTATCTCTGTGAATCGAAATGGCTCTCTTGAAATGAAGGGTCATTTCAAATGACGTCTATACCCTGTAGTCCTTAAAGAGAAACAATTATTTCGTGATCCAATATCAATTAATTGTACATTAATCCTATTGCTACGTTAATTGAAATTAGATAAAAGACAAATGTAGAATAATGAATATAAGCAGTTTCATCACGAAACCTTGGTTTTATAAGAGAACGATTAAGTGCCTGCAACCTGACCATAAAAAAAGAATTTCATGGTCATTATATATATGTTAAATATTAAATTTGTATTATGTATTTTTTTAGAAAATAGTTTATACTAACCCTTAATTACGAATACATCGAAAGAATTCATCAAATGTCGTATTCTTCACTTTCTGATAATGGAATGTTGCAGATATTTAGTTTTTAATTAAATGATTATATGGAATTCTTTAAAACTGTTCCCGCATATTCATGGCTATTTATTTATTTTCGCAAATACTGAAATTTACGTAATATAGTATAAAACTCATTGAAAAATTGTCAAGACGACATTTGATAAATTCTTCCGATGTCTTCGTTATTAAGGGTTTCACTGTATTAGAATGATTAAAGGAATTGACATCCCTATTGGACACCCCTTCTGTACTATATGTTTATGCAAAACCCAAATGAAATGTTTTATTTACATCTACAGTCAAGGAAAATACAAATTAGAAAAAATCCACATGCCAAATAGGCACCACTCCACTTGTCCATTTTATTTGAGAACTCGATAAAAGTAAGGTAATGTGGTTGGGATAAAAGTTTTAAATTGAGTGGGTTGACTTTTTTAACAAAAATATATCTAGTAAGTTCTATTTAATATCAAGCAAATATGTGCAAAAATAGAAGTCCTATAGTATATGGTAAGGTCTAAGACTCTCAAGCAAGCATGTACATAAGAGTAGATTTTTACACAGGTGTAGCTCCTTTAGTATCTGGTAAGTGCTGTGTACTGACACCCTAACATGTACATAAGAGTAGATTTGAACAAAGGGGTAGGTACGTGGTCAGATAGTATCTGGTAAGTGATGTACTGTAAAGCAGACATGTACATAAGAGTATATCTGTATAAAGTAGAGGTCCCATAGTATCTGGTAAGTGCTATGTACTGTAAAGCAGACATGTACATAAGAGTATATCTGTACAAAGGTAGAGGTCCCATAGTATCTGAGGCTGCAGGTGGTTAGAATACAGCCTCCAGAATCAGTATCATCTCACCCTTCAGCCTCTACCTTACACATCCTCCCGCTACTAGCCTCGTAGATAAATCAACACGGGGAATCTTCGTGGGACAAAAACTGACTTTTTCAAAATATTTTTGGCTTCAACAGAGTGTTTATGAGTTTTTGAAAATCTAAGTGATAAATTGTTTATATCAAACATATTTGCAAGGATTAAGAAAACATTAAGATATAAAGAAGTATTCTGTTTACCTACATATTCTGCAGAAAAGGTAGGAGGACACTTATATTTTATTCGAATCAAAATAACGCTCGATAAATCGGCTTTTTCTCCGGCCACAGTTGTCTTTGAAAAGTAAGACTAATACGGCGAATAGGCTGTTTACTTTACCCTGAAATTATCCAAATAAGTGAACGGTCCTTTTAAACAGGTACAACGCCCCCCGCCCCCTCTATAATCCCTTTATTCTATAGATTTCATTTTTAAGATTAAAAACATCGTTTCAATCCACCCCCCCCCCTCCACACTTTCCAAAGAATATATTTCTAATGTCAACTTTGCCCCCCCCTTACTCTTTTCTAATTCTTTTCTGATATTTCATAATCATGTAAAATATCTATTTTTTCAATTCCTTCTTTCAAAATTTAAGGACAAGTCTTTATAGACAAATATGTAAGAATTTTCTTCTCTTCATTTTCTCCTAAACCTATTTATATCTTTCTTAGTTTCAGAATATTTATCCACAGATTAAAAGCTTATTATTATGAAATTTTTCCGTTCTATAAAAGAAGATTTTTATAAATTTTTCTTTGCAAAACATTCGATAGACCTAAAATTTTTACGTTCGATATCAAATTTATTTCTAATTCATCCTTTGTCACAGCATAGTCATTTTAATCATGTTTTACTTCTCTTTGTACAATGAAAACCAACAAGAAATAAATTCCAAGATTTTCTTATTTTCGTTTTTTAATTTTTAGAAAAAAATACAAGACATTTAAAATCTCAGTTGAAATTTTAAGTCAAAAAATTCTCTAATGCCAGTTTTTTTCCAATAAAAAAATACAAAACAGAAAATTCCTGAAAAAAATATAGATTTTAAAAATTGATCTGTTCCTCGTTACTTTATTAGACGGATTAATTGATTCAACCCTTTACAAGTTTTCCTCTCTCTCAAGTGCCTGGAAATGAAACCTCTATTATATATATATCTGCAGTTTCAGAAATAGTTCGCAAAACTTTTCATCTTCAACCTGGGAATTTTATTTTCAAGAACCTGACTTTATCTCCAGAAACCTTAAACGTAGTTCCATGCGAAGATAAGAATATTCGTACCGTTAAATTTTTTATCTGATCAATATATAAATGTGGAAAAAAATTATCGTTTATCTTTGTTTCAAAATGTTCAACTCCGATAATTCGTATATTTGGTTCTGCAAATAGAAATGCGGGAGTCACTGATGTATTGAACTCACAATTAAAAATATTCTGATTTCAAAATTAGATAGAATGCTTGACCAGACAAAATCTTTAAGACTAGCGTTGTGAATCAGGTATGGCCATCTTTGTAAGGAAGGTCACTTGAAATTACGCTTACAATCCCTATAAATAGTAAGAACTCCTTGCAAGTCAGCAACTCTTGAATGAACAGAACGAATTGGTAACTTATCTAAAATCTTAGTTATAAAATTAACGTTTTTTGACCTAATTAAGATCCATCTCTCAATAGATAGTGATTTTGGATTAGAATCAGATGATGAGATTCAAGTTGTTAAGGGTAACCACTAGAATTCGCCTATAAGAGGCCGGTTCATTTGGTGCACCGTCCCGTTTTGCTTGATATAATCTGTATATGTACTGTACAGCTTGCTCATGCTGGTTAAAAGTAGGCCCGGTACTTAATAACCATAGATTACGGTGTAACTCTGTATGGTTAGGCCAGTTTAATTCTTAGCCAAGAGAAGTGTTGTTTACAATCTAGTGTGACGTACCAGGACAGCTGAAGAACTAGTTTTATCACAAACAATAGCAAATATTGATTCTGTACAGAGAAATTGAAAATTACAATTTCTCTGTTTACAAGAAAACTAGTTCCAGAGCTGTCCTAATATGTCATATTATGTAAACAAACCCTAACCCACTCTTCAAAGTTATATTTACCTTTAAAGGGAGTGTCACCGTATCTTCAAGGGATCTTACATTTAACATCACAACGGTTCCCTTTAAACCTTTCAGTCGGGCCAAGAATGAATTTAGCTAATTAAATGAATATTCTAACTATTGATTTTCTGTAAAAGTTGTTTACGGACTTATGTAATCTGCAGAGACAATGGAGGAAATTGTGAGAAATAACACGTTTAAAAAAGAAAGAAAAAGGACGAAATCGTCTAGGTTTTACTCAGATTGAGGCGGCATCGTTGTAAAGGGAGAGTCATGCATAATTGCGTCTATAAATCCCAATGTTAGGTTCTTGGGTCGGGGGATGATATAACGAGATTAGTTTTGAAAATAAAAAAGTATTTAGATCTTTAATACAAAAGTAAAATTTTTCTTTCTGAACAAAATATGGAAAAAAAATTCATTTGTCAGCATTCTTTAGAAAAAAAATTTAGTCATCATATTAGTTTGAAAAAGAAGTTGATGAATAGGAACTGGAAACTTAAATATTAGAGCCGGGGCAACATTGAGTTAGATTTCGAAACAACATTGAAAAAAGAAACGGTTTAGGGAGGAAGAAAGCCGAAAAACTTTAGTGAAACGGTACTTTAAAATAAATACTCAAATAATAATAAAACCTCAAAAAATTAGAAAAATATCAGAAACTTTTAAAGCGGTGTTTCGATCATACAGAAACATTTTTCTTCTTAAATTTAGTAAGATTGATAGCAAGTATAAAACTGCGGGTACATCTTTGTAGGAAAGGAATTGAGTCTTTGGAACGAAATCAAATATTTAAATCTCAATATCATTAGAACCCGATGTTGTAAACCTTTGATATTTCAAACTCAGATCATTTGATCTAACAAAATTCATAGTTTGAAATATCCAAGGTCTGCAACATTTGGTTCCTAAGATTAGAAACTTAGAAATTGTGGCAAAGACTCAATTCCTTTCAAAAACTTTATTGCCGTGCAAATTTGCTTGAGTCTGTTAGTTTATAATCTTTATTCTGTATTTTCATAAGAACATTGAAATTTGAAATACTTTCATTGTCTAAAACTTCCAGCGAAGTTCTAAAATCTACCAAAAATTTCAAACTTTGAAATTTTAAACTTTAAATATTTCAGTTTTATATTGATTGTAGATAACAGGGTATTTATATATTTACAGCCTTTACATTTTACAAGCTTTATATTAAACATCGTAAAAGTTAGATGTTTGAAAGCATGCACTGAAGAGAGCATGAGGGGGAACTTGAGAGTGTAAATCTATATTTTATGTGCTTTTAAAAACATATTTTATCTTTTTTTTTGTAAAATATTTTCACAGAAATTAGTTTCAGAAAATAAACCTAAAAGCTAATTAAAAAATCATTGAATTTTCATTTAACCACTCTACTCCTGAATGTGATATGTCTAAAGTATGGTTTTATCGCATATAATAATATTTTATCTCAGGGTTGTTTATTCATATATTTAAGTGTGATAAGGAGTTGAGTTTTTGCTGCCACAAACTCTGATTTTCTAATCTCTATATCTTTGTAACCCAATGACGTAGACCTTAGATATTTCAAAATATTAATACTTAGATACTTAGATAAAATAATCTAAGTTTGAAATATCAAAGGTTTGCACCATAAGATTGCAAAGATATTGGAAGGCAATTCCAGATTTCAAATAAATAAAATCTTTTTACTTGCTCATGAACAAAAAGAAAATATTTTTTGTAATGTTAAAATGAAAAAAATTATCCCCTCTTAATACCATTGAAACTTTGAACTAAACTTGTTTAGATATTTGCAATGCTAAGTGTATATATTACACAAATTGAAGTTGCGTTTATTTGCAAAAAGTTTGCTAATTCTCGTTGAGATATTTATACCAAAAAATGAGCTCTAAAAATTTCGCATAAAGGAAAATACAGCTTTTTTCTGGATAATTCTCGTTTTGGATTTTACATTTGTGCAGTTTCCCAGCCCAAGGGAAAATGCCTTTGGAAAAGTACCATACATTTATTTTGAGTTACGTTATACAACATAAACATACAGTATACATTATTTATTGAGTTTTATATTCATAGCCCTACTTTTATAATAGTCCGAAGTAATCGTTTTGAAATAAAAACAATTAGCAATACACAATTTAAAAAATACAATATACAGTTACAATATAAAATTTACAATATGCAATAAACAATATACAATATACAATATATTAATGTACAATCTATATGTATACTTTGCTTGTTTGTCTGTCTGTAACAAACACCTACTTCGTAACAGTTTTACTCGAGACGTATCTATCCAGGTCTACTTGGTGCCAAGATCAACCAGGACAAACTCTTCGTTTCTGAATGTCACAAAGGCAATATCTCAACCAGGCTTAACTCTCCGGTTTCAAAGGACACACAGTCCCAAATCTCAACCAGGCTTAACTCCCTAGTTATAACTGCCACACACAGGCTATTGAAATTGCTACACAGGCAATTTCTCAACCAGACTTAATTCCCCGGTTCTGAAGGACACATAGTCCAAATCTTAACTCTTTTAACTCAACGAGGACCCAAGCTATCTTTCAAGCTAAATTGCCAATAAGCTAGGCAAAATCTACACTCGTATGTTTCAACGAGAACATAATTACTCTCTTGCAGTAATCCAAGCGGAGTTTCATACAACTAACTTTATTCAAATAGCTTATGTTACAAAGTTAAAAGGAATTGACGTAATTGAATTCCTACGATGTTATCTATATCACATGATAAATACCATCGTATTACGCATTTTTTATTAGAGAAAGTGTATATCAGGCATTATAACTATCTACGTAATGCTTTTATCTCGTAATTCAAATATGTCGCATGATTCAAGCTATATATTGAATATTCCATTGAAACGCAGTATCAATAAATACAGGTTTACAACATTTAATCATTAGTAATGTACAACGTACTGCAATTTTACAGAACATCATGTTTGCCAACTTTTTGCTACATGTCTGTCTATTTATATACTTTGCTTGGGTGTCTGTGTGTCTGTTTGTTTGTTTATATCCAATAAACGTCAAAACGGCTGAATCGATCGGGCCCATTTTTTTGTGGGACAACATGTGGCCC